ATTTTATGCCCCTTATAACACTCTCGTCTATTTTAAGCCTTAAAGGTGTTAATTGACATATGAAAAGACCTTTTTACCTCTATATGGTATGTGATACAAAAATTTACAGATACTAGTACGTGCTAATAATCTCCGGCCAACTTGGTTTGTTGTATGCGGCTAACTTTAGCGGACTAGCTGCATGTTTGCTGTCCAGCTGGTTCGGTTCATAGCTGTGTGGGCGCGTTTTGTGCAGCGGGGAGTGTGAGCGGCCGCCGTCCTTCTTCGTAACCCCGACTCATGTGTACTTCGTTGGTTAATCAGCTAGAGATTACTTAATGCGTGTGCCTGGCATGGCATCGGCCAGTATCAGTAAGCATGGACTAAATACTACTGTATAGTGTACGTATTTACGGAGAGGAGAGCGGTTACATCGTACACAAGAGCTAACTTAAGCACTCAATTGATTTTCAAATGGCGCCGTCAAAGTCACCAGGGGTGGATGGGTTTACTGCTGGGTTTTTTCAACGCCATTGGAATTTGTTGAAAGATGACGTTGTACCAGCAGTTTTGGACTTTCTTAATGGAGGTGAGCTCCCGGAGGGTATGAATGATACTTCTATAACTTTGATCCCAAAGGTACGGTTCCCTCGGAAAATCTCTCAATATCGTCCAATATCTCTGCCCGGTTTTGTATAAAATCGCAGCAAAGGCTATTGCCAATCGGGTCAGAGTTTGTTTGGATGAGATTATTGGGGAAAGAACAAAGTGCTTTTGTCCCCGGCCGCTTGATCACTGATAATGTTTTAATTGCGCATGAGAGTGTGCATGCCATGAAGCGAAGGAAGAAAGGGGGCAATGCAGTTTGGGCGGTGAAGTTGGACATGATGAAGGCCTATGATCGTGTTGAGTGGCACTATCTTGAGGCAATCATGCTGCAGCTGGGTTTTGGTGCAGAGTTCGTGCAACTGATTTTGAAATGTGTGACTTCGGTCCGATTTTCAGTACGTGTCAATGGCGAGCTGTTGCCTTTCTTCGCTCCATCATGTGGATTACGGCAAGGTGATCCAATGTCACCATACTTGTTTCTACTTTGTGCTGAAGGTTTCACCTCCTTGCTGAATCATTTTGGTGGAACACAAGTTGATAAAGGGATAAGGTGAGCTATCAGTCTCCATGGATTAATCATTTATTATTTGCAGACGATAGTCTCATTTTTATGCAAGCTCAAGTGCAGAGTGCTCACCGTTTGAATGAAATCTTGCGGATCTATGGCAAGTGTTCGGGACAGGCAGTGAATAAAGATAAAAGTTCAATCTATTTTAGTCCAAACACTTTGGCTCCGATCCGGCAAGTTTTAAAGCAAATTCTTGGAATAAATGTGGAGGCAATCAGTGAGCGGTACTTGGGGCTGCCTACAACTGTTGGGAGGATAACCAGTGGGACCTTTGATCATATTGGAGAAAGAATGAGGAGTAAACTCCAAGGGGGGTCCGAGAGAATGATCTCTTGTGCAGGAAGGGAGGTACGAATAAAATCTATAGCTCAAGCAATACCTACTTTCAGCATGAGTTGTTTCAAACTGACTAAGAAAGTTTGCTCGAGTTTGACCGCTTCTATGGCAAAGTATTGGTGGAGTAGCTCTCTTGATCGGCGTTCAATGCATTGGATGAGTTGGGAGGCTCTCGCACAACCAAAAATCAGAGGAGGGATGGGATTCTGAGACTTGGAATTGTTCAATATAGCACTCCTTGGTAAACATGGCTGGAGACTGATGACTGAACCAAACTCTTTGTGTTCTAGAGTGTTAAAAGGACGATACTTCCCGTCTTGTGATTTTATGCAAGCAAGTGCGCCCAAGAATTCTTCGACGACTTGGCGAGCAATCATTGCTGGGAGGAAAGCTTTGAAGGCTGGGCTGATCAAGCGCGTTGGCAGCGGTACAACGGTGTCTATTTGGGAAGATAAATGGATCCCAGAAACACTTACAATGACCCCTGTAGCCCGCCTGGGAGATGCGCAAATCAGCTGGGTTGCTGATTTGATTGATGATGAGAACTGGACGTGGAAAACTGATGTTGTTAGGCAATCTTTTATACCTCCGGATGCTGATGCAATTCTTAATATACCTTTGAGAACGGGAGGTGGAGAAGATCTTATAGCTTGGGCACCTGAGAGGTCGGGGATATACACTGGAAAGTCAGCTTATCGCTCTCTTATGATTTAGAACGAGCAAAAAGCTCTAGAAGAAGGGACGATGACGGATACTTTAGAGACTGATAAACAGTTGTGGTCTCGGCTATGGAAACTCAAGGTATTGCCCAAAGTTTGTGTCTTCTGGTGGCGTGTTTTACGTGGGATTTTGCCCGTAGAAAGCACTTTGAAATATCGACATATATCCACCGAGAGAAAGTGCAAAATCTGTTTGCACTCGGACGAGGATATGATGCATGCTTTATTGAATTGTTCCCATGCGAGAAGGTTCTGGAACGAAGCAACTGAATGGCTTGATATAAAGCGACCAGACTTGCATCCTCTCACCTGGGCAAAGGACATTCTTTGTGTCTCCTCATTTTCAGAGTCGGACAGAGCCAAGATGGTCTCTGTTATGTGGTCTATCTGGACTTCACGCAACAATATTACACATGACAAAGATGGTTTTGATCCCGCTCAGGCTATGAAGTGAATACGGGAAGCTCTTGCTGTGTTGGAATTACCTCAAGCGCATGCATGTATCTTGCCCGGTCATGGGTGGAGACCGCCTGATGCAGGATGGATAAAAATCAATACTGATGGTAGTATTGCTATGGAATCCCGGCGAGGAGGAGCTGGACGGGTGGCTCGATCATCGTCTGAGCTTAAGGCTGCATGGTGTAAGCCCTACACGGGGATCACAGACCCCCTCCTAGCTGAAGCGTTGGCTCTTCGAGATGGAGCAATTTTTGCAAGGCTTCGAGGATATGATCAAGTCATCTTGGAGACCGACAGTCTAGAGATGGTGAATCTCTGGCACTCACGCCATGATCGTTCGGTGGTGGCGCCTATTCTTACTGAGATTGAGGAGCATGCCTCTTTTTTTTTTAAGTCTTTTGTTATTCAACTTGTTTCGAGATCAGCCAACTTTCCGGCTCACCTTTGTGCGAAGCAAGCTAGCACTTTGGATGTAACAGATTGTTGGTTAGACTCCACTCCTAGTTTTCTTGTAACTAGCCTCGTAGATGATTCGGCCGGGGTGGTTTCTGTTGAATAAAGCTCCCAATTTCCCCACAAAAAAATTGATTTTCTTTGGAAGTTGGCTCACGCAGTTAGGAACCGAACCAGGTGGACAACACACATGCAGCTAGTTCGCTATACTTAGCCACATACAACAAACCAAGCCGACATTATTAGCACATACTAGCATCTATGATTTTTTTTATCACATACCACATCAGGGGTAAAAAGGTCTTTTCATGTGTCAATTAACACCTTTAAGGCTTAAAATGGACGAAAATGTTATAAAGGACATAAAATTTAGACTTGATGCTATATAAGGAAGAAAATATTTTTTGGTGTCAAATAGGGAAACAAAATTTAACACAGTGTTAAATAAGGAATTCTCTCATAAATGTACCAACGTGTATTTCAAAAATGTTTATCATGTATTCGAGAAAATGTTCAAAACACGTTTTTGTAACAATGTTAATCATGTATTTTTTTGCGTCAAAAGTTCATAACTTTATTAAAAAATGAGCTCATGGAATCATCGGCCAAGAAGCTGGTGAGCAGGAAAGATGGTCTAGAGTCGGACCAACTTTCAATGACCATCAACGAGCAAGCTTGCTTCGCGCACATGTTTACATGTTGAATATCAAAAGAAGAAAAAGAGGAACCTAGCTCTCCAATTTCCATCAGTAACGGTGCCACAACAGATCAGATATTGGGATGAAATTTCTAGAGGTTTAACCATCTCCAGGCAGCCCGTCTCCACCATCACATGTGAGAAGCCGCGCAATATTGAAAAACACACATCATACCAAAGCGCCAAGGTCTCATAACTCTTCGCATAAAAAATTGAAAAATGTTAATCATGTATTTTAAAAATGTTAAACATGAATAAAAATGTTTTAGATATACACGAAAAATGTACAACGTGTATGAATAAAAGTAGACATCAAAAATATATTTGGAAAAATGTTAATCATGTATTTGAAAAAAATTAAATGTGTATACAAAAATTGTTCCTAATGTGTAAGAAAAATTTGCCATGCCTATGAAAAATGTAGACATGTGTTCAAAAAGAGAAAAACTAAAAAGGAAAAAAAACGAGAAAGAAACAAAGAAAACAAGATGAAAGAGAACAAAAAGCAACTGAATAAAACAAAGAAAAACCAAAGGAAACCATGCAAAACAGTGGAAACCAAAAAGACTGCGATAAATAACTCTCGCATGCACAGGACGCTGGAACTGGAGGTGGGTCATGTTCCAGCTAAAAAAAGTGACTGGTCCAAATAAAAATGTCAGGCAACGACGTACATTATGTCCCAACAAAGTTTCATAGCTACATGTCACTGCGTTTCTGCAGTAACGCGTAGGAAATCATCTATTTACCCCTAAAAAGGAGAAATCATCTAGTGAATTTAGAGTTTTAACAAAGAGAAAATCGAGTCAATGAACCAGACAGTACGGTTGAGGACGTGCTCATTGACAGAACTGGGAAGGCGACAAGGTGGTGGGCAAACCGGTACATTGCAGTTGGCATATATACAGTACTTCTATGTTAGTGTGCACGGCAAGACAACCTAACGAACCAACACCATTTCGTGTGCCAAGACAGATGCACATACGTATGCACAGCTGCATGACGAGACCAAGAGAAAATGTGGCTCGTTACCATTCCTCTACGAGCTACGTGCATCGCCAGCGCCTGCAACATGCATTGCATGCACTCGTCTCCGGCCGATGAGCTCATCCCCAACACCGGCGAAAGACATGTCCCCGCGCTCCATCGGCGAACGCTATATAAAAACGTCTACACATGCATGTTTGAGCACAAGTCGGTGTGTGTAGATCGTTCGGTTCATACGGCTTTGTCCCCCGGCGCATGGCCGGCGATCACTGCAATCTTGCTGGTGCACGGCCTGTTCGCCGCCTTCCCGGCGGTGTCGGTCGACATGGGCGACATGCTGATGATGGACAGGTTCCGCGAGTGGCAAGTCACGCACAACCGGACGTACCTGAGCACGGAGGAGAGGGTGCATCGCTTTCAGGTGTACCGCGACAACGTGGAGTACATCGATGCCACCAACCGGCGTGGTGACCTCACCTATGAGCTCGGCGAGAACGAGTTCGCCGACCTCACCCAGGACGAGTTCCTGGCTAGGTACGCGTCGTCCTACGAAGCTGCCAGCGATGATACGGGCATTACTTTGCCTGTGGGCGGCGGCGACGCCGAGCTGTGGTCATCCGGCGTCAACGATGGTAGCTCCTTGGAGGCTCCGCCTCCCAGCTGGGACTGGAGATCCAAGGGCGCCGTCACACCGGTCAAGTCCCAAGGCGCAGGATGCGGTACGTAAAGATAGATCCCCCATCTGATCCATTTCAACTTTACCCAGGGACGAAGCTAGAAAAAATGATCACTGGGGTCAACCAATGCCAACTATAGCACAGGCTATGGCGTGACTCACGCTGAGAACAATATAAAGAGGAAAACCCAAAAATATGCCCACCATAACATAATAGAAATAACATCCAAGGGTAACATTTTTTTGCGTCGAATATAGTAGTTTTATTAAAAGATTATCACGGTGTTACAGTCCGCCTGTAGGCAAGGGTGAAGTGCAACATAAAGAGTGAAAATATGCAATGAGCCAATGATATAATTGGTATCATAATAGTAGTAGTACCAATATTTGATGTGTGATCTTGCCTTTGTCCAACTGGCTTTGAAGTCCCTGCCAGATCAGTCTCTGGTGCCGTTCGTTTCAGCAGAAATCTGTCCATATCCTTCTAGTCCTAGCCTCCTAGCTGCAGCAAAAACATAAACCTAAACTTAGTAATTAGCCATCCGGAGAGAATGAGTTGTTGGTGCGTGAGACCAAGAGAAACTGAAAAAGATACTGGCGTACCTGCCTCAGAACTGCCGACGAGGAGGGCATGTGCCAAGTGGGCGGGAGATTAAAGATTATGCGGCGGCGGCGGCCGGCTGGCCGGCATCACCCTTGGAGATTAGGGATCGCCTTGTTTGTCGTCGTTGGAAATTGGGGATTAGGGATGGAGAGTTGGGGTGGGGAAAAGAATAGGCCAAGGCGATGAGACGGCGACCTGACGATGGCGAAGAGACGAAGAGGCATGTGTCGGCTGGCTGTTCACGACTTCGCGTACATCTACAGAAATTGGAGACCAAACGTCAACGTGTACGTGTGTAAAGACTTGTAAGCCTAAGCGGCTAAGCCACGTCTTATGCATTGGGCCTTGTGTGCTGAAGCTATACGCCACGATAACTTTTTTTTTTTTGCTAAAATTTACGGATGCTATGGGCTGAGACTGAACAATTGGACAATTAGCTGGCGGGCTGGGGTCAACTAATTTTTTAGGCTGGGGTCAAGAGCAACTTTGATGGGCGTACTAGCTTCAAATACTGGAAGGCATTGGGGTCAATTGACCCCAGTGTCCATACTAGAGCTTCGTTCCTGACTTTACCTTGTTATAACTATGCACGATGGTTAAGCATTGACTATTTTGTCCCTCGATGAATGGATGCAGCTAGCTGCTGGGCGTTCGTGACGGTTGCTACGATCGAGACTCTGAACTGGATCAGGACGGGGAAGCTGGTGCCTCTCTCGGAGCAGCAGCTGGTGGACTGTGACCAGTACGACGGCGGGTGCAACCGCGGGTCCTTCCACAGGGCCTACAATTGGATTGTGGAGAATGGCGGCCTCACCACGGCAGCAGAGTACCCGTACACGGCGGCGAGGGGCGCCTGCAACCGCGCCAAGTCCGCCCATCACGTCGTCAAGATCCTCGGAGGCGGCGTGATCCCGCCTAGGAACGAGCCCGAAATGCAGGTCGCCGTCGCCGGGCAGCCCGTCGGTGTGGCCATCGAGGTCGGCAGCGGCATGCAGTTCTACAAGGGCGGCGTCTACTCGGGCCCCTGCGGGACAAATCTTGCTCACGCCGTCACCATCGTCGGTTACGGCGTCGACGCCCCTACTGGGGCCAAGTACTGGCTCGTCAAGAACTCATGGGGGCAGACATGGGGTGAGAGCGGCTACATCCGCATGCGTCGCGACGTCGGCGGCCCGGGGCTCTGCGGCATCGCGCTCGACGTTGTCTACCCAAAAATGGCGAAAGCGTGAATGTGAATGTACCTATGTCATGCATCTGCATGCGTATCTTCCCAATTAAGTAAGCTCGCCTACTGGGATTGCTTCAGGACCACCCGTTATTGTTTGCTGAACTTGCATTCCTTCAATACCTCATGCGGCAATAACACTATCCATCTAATGAAGACACTTTGACATTCATTACTCTTCAGTAATACTCCCTCCGATTCCTATATATCTAAGGGACTACATACGGAGCAAAATAAGTAAATCTACACTCTAAAATATGTTTATATACCTTCGTATATAATCTGTATTGAAATCTCTAAAAATACTTATATATAGAAACGGAGGGAGTAATTTGAGGTATGATAGGATCAACTTTGATGGTTATAGCCTTAGATGGTTATATCCTTCGCCGATCACATCACTCCATGCGGAAAAAAAAACACGTGTAAGAGGCAAACAAGCCACCACGTCACTCCACCTTCACATATGCTAAAAATATATCCTTCGCCGATCTTGTTGATAATAATTGAGATTAAAAGATAATAATGGTACACACAATATAGTAGCGTACAAACAAGTCCACCAATGACACGTGCAATATGAGTCTAACATAGACACTCATCTAAAACTAGACAACGTACACACTAGAAAAAGAAAAGACATACCTCCAGGTCATTCCATTTTTTGAGATGGGCAGCCAGGTCTTTCCAATGATACGTGCAATATGAGTCCAACATGGACACATATCGAAAGTAGATCATGTACACATCAGAAGAAGAAAGAAAACTTATGAGCAGATCTTTCAGTGAAAAAACACGTGTAAATCGGCGAACCTACAAGGAAATACTTCAAAAGAAAGTGTAGCCTCAGTTCTTCCTCAAAAAAAAAAAAACTCTAACGATGAGCATATTATGCCGCCGAGACATGGAAACGGCCGCCATGCTTCCAAGACGCTTCAAGGATGGCTTGATGGCCTGAAATGGAGTTGGATGGGTACGTTTACGGTGGGAGTGCTTGCCGGCGTTCTCCTTTGTTGAGGCATGAGGCATGGTGGAGTTCTAGGATGTCAGGAAGAAGCGTCGAGCTAGTGCAACAGCTGTGCATGACCCGGCCAATCATGGAGGTCGCTAAGATCATGGCCGCAAGTTTAAAGCACCACGCTGAGACCAACTAGGACGTCAACCACGACCGCATAGCCCACATAGATTGCGACGGCGCATGTGACTAGGGATGCACCAACTAGATCGCGGAGATCGCCTATTGGTGACCAGGTGCTTCGTTGGCCGCCATGACCGCAGCCGGCACTGTGGGCAGAACGGCATGCTACTTGGCCGGTGTATGTAGCGGTTGTTTGGTAAGTTTACCTAAGGTTGTCACACATAAGGTTAACCAAGTTTGAGCAACTTAGATGGGTATTTAGTTCAAGTCATATCTTAGTCAAGTCACACTAGGGCAAGCCACGGTTGTGTTGGATTTTGGTCTTGACAAACAACCAAGAGAGAGGAAATCAATGGGATATGGCTCACCACACCCCACGGAAGGATGCACTGCGGAGGTGCCAACCAACAATTTTGGGTTTGGTCCCGACTCTCTGGCACCTAACATATAAGGAGAAGTACCCCACCGGTTTATACGATAGATGGGGTTCCCTCTAACCGTTGATCCTAATGTGGTCCTAAGAGATGCGAAGACCATCCCCAGCGCCAACCACCGCAAGGTGAGTGCTGACAGCGCTACTGCTGCCAACGATGTCTCCCTGCTCCAGCTCTTTTCCCCGGACCATATCTCCATGTTGCTCGAGAATGCAAGGTGTAACCATAAGCTACACAAAGGGTGCATCAAGCAGAAACAAGGCTTCCCTAAATACCAGTAAGAAATCCCAAATCTCTTTGTCATTTGTACATTAGGTGTTCTAGTGCTACACCAGTACAGAACCTCCTTATTAGCGGTGTGCTAAAACCCTTACTAGCGCCATGCAGCTCACACGCTACTAGTATCGCACTGCTGTTAACTAGTTATGTGAACGCCGCTAATAACAAAATACTAGCGACGTGCGCACCTCGCACGCGCTAGTAACCCAATTACTAGCCGCGTGAATCGTCTCTTACTAGTGGGGTGATTAACGAGCTGCTCGGCTCATGCTGATTAAGGCTAGGCTCGTTAAGCTCGTCTGTTTAACGAGCAAAAAACCATGTTTGGCTCTGTTCGTTTAAAGCACATTAAGCTCATAAGAGCCTGCAAGTGCTCATTAAAGACTACAATGTATGGCCTACAGGATGAGGGTGTGTGTGTGTAACCTTTACAAAGGAAGATGGTGACCGAAGGAAAAAGTGCATTAGTTTGTTGCCTCTTATGGGTTGAGATGGGTGCTATAACAATTTCATTAAGAAAACCTAACTAAATAAATGGAAAATGGGAATTAATACAATTCTTTTTCTCTTCAAATCCAAATTTTTTTCTCTTTTTATACATAGGTTGTCGATTCGGCATTGCTTAAAATGGGTAGAGTGCCCCCTTTTCCTAGTAAATAGTTTGATCCATTTTATCGATATGAGTTTTCTATATCAGATAAATTTTATATTAAGCTAGACTGGACTGTTTTCATGGGTAAGTTATGCTGGCTTCAACCGCAACATTTTTCTAGAGGAATGTGTCTAGCATTTTTAAGAGAATCCATGCAACATCCACATGGTGCTAATACAGAGAAGGGATAGAAGCATGAACGGAATGTTTTTTCCATTATAAATATAATGGCAATGGTGGGTAATTTTTTTACTTGAAATCTTCTCCGATGACTACATAATTTTGGTCTATTAAAATAAATGGTCGGATGTTTCTATTTTATGATAATTTCTAGCCTTGTTTTCTGGTGACTCTGTCAAGTACTTACACCTTTATGAATAATATGAAGCACACATTGACGCTAAAGTGGCAAGTTTGCCGTTCTTATGCCAGTTATGATATTATTGTAGTAGGTGGCATATGATTATATTTGTGACCAATGTTGTTCATAATCACGTGTTACACTTCATTAAGTTCTTTTTCATCTTCTGCCCCACAGTGATGTGAATTAGAGCGAAAATGTATGCTTGAAGAGATTAGACTCTGGAGCATAGTATATGTTATATGAGAATAAAGTAATCACTGGGAACTTGAGCCTAGGAACACAAATCTTAAAGATCAACTGACTATCCATGAGATGTTTATTCCTACGCATCAGGTGGATTGACGATTATGAAATCACTAAAGCAACACCTATTCTTCACCCTCATCATTTCCCTATGATAAATAATGTGTGTGAATGTTCATCTTATTGGCTTGCTGCCATGTGGGATGAAGGCTATGAGCCCTTACCGTGAATGAAACTTTATATAGTTTCCTCAATGGGTTAAATATGGTAGGATAAAATGGTTTACAAATCCAAACATGACTCTGAGGGAAATCTTGAAAGGTTAAAATGATTGAGATTTGTGGTGTGACATATTTCCTGTTGTTTGGACTAAGGAATTCTCAAGATGTTTGTGTTACCATCATGACATGCACTTATGTTGACTTAATTAAGAATGTTTATCTGGCTCAACCAAAAGGTTTCATGAAAGAAGAAAAAATAACATACGACATGCTGTCCGAGGAAGTTATTTTTTGATAGAAGACATGCGTTGAGACTATGTCTAGGGTGTATGTTCTCTGCCTCATGTAGATGAAAGCTCACTGGCTAAACCATGAGCTTTGAGTTCAAAGGATCTTGGTGTTATCTTGTGCATTAATTGTATGGAGGTTCATCGATGGTCCAAAAGGAGTATAAGTCCTATTATGATTACATATGTGGACATAATACGAAAGACATACATTATGCACAAGTACTCTGAATCACCTGCTCCTAAACTTCAGTGCGATACAATTGGACATTTGGGTATCCAAGGAACGAATTATAAATTGATCAGATAATGTTGGTTTCTTATGTTTCATTTGTCAAAAGCACCTTAAATATTAAGCATGAATGCACTCTCTCATTTATAATTAGGATACTTGACAAAATTGTGTTTAATCGACACTGGACCATTGGAAAATGTCGTCAAGGTTTGCAATATATGCAAGGCGATGAATATTACATGCTCATTTATAATGAGTTTTGTAACGTCATAATTGTGGGTTACTAAGACATTGTTTTGGTGAGGTATGTGGATATTAATAATTCCATGCCATGTTACGTCTACACCCTCACACAAGGAGCTTTATCATGGAAAAGCTCCTAAAGGACAACCACGACATCATCCACAATGCAAACTATTTCTGGCATGTTAGAGGCTACTAAGCATGTTATATATCGAAAGAATATTAGTTCCGAAGCTAAGAGTGATAGACATCAACTCCAAACCACTCACTGCGATTATGATCACACAATCCTCTATGTGAGTAACAACAAGTCATTCGGCCTAGCCAAAACCGTTGACATTATGCTCCATGTTGTGAAAGATAGAGTTCAGGATCAAAGATATATAATATTTAATTTATATAAGTTTTGCAATTCCTCTCTTGGAGACTTACTACCCATTTTTTATGGTTATGTTGCCGACATGGGTTTGTAAAGCCTTTTAATTATGGAATCTGGACCTTTAAATACACCAACTCCCATAAAGAGGTATGTTTTCCATTTCGAGAACCGCCGTTCAGTGGCATTTCATTAGTCATTGTAACACTTTACTTGGATGTGTTCTTTTATTGAGAGTGGGGTTATGATGTTTGTTAGTCTTTCGATCAAGGGGGGAGAATGTTTGATTTTGATCTTGGCTAATAATCAAGATAGAAAGTCAATGGGATGTGGTCCACCACACCCCATGTACGGAGGCACCGTGTGATCGGAGGTGCGAGCCAACACTTTTAGTTTTGGTCCCAACTCACCTAATATTTTTTTTGAATTTTTCAACTCACCTAATATAGAAGGAGAAGGACCTCATCAGTTTAATCCAGCGATTTCTACACGGTAGATGTGGGGTACCCTCTAACTGTGAGAGGCGAGGACCATCTCCACTGCCAGCCGCCGCAAGAGTGACAGCGGCGCTACTGCTGCAAACGACGTAACGCAAGGTGTAACCATGAGCTACACAAAGGTTGCATCGAGCAGAAACAAGGCTTCCCTCGATATCCGTAAGAAATCCCAAATCTCTCTGTCATATTCTGTGAAGTTTGTCTCTAAAGATTAATACTAACAGGCTGACGACGTGTTCATCGACAGAACTGGAAGGCGAAGGTGCACTAAGGTGGTAGACAAACTGGTACATTGCAGTCGCCACTCATATGTTGGCTAGTGTGCACGGCAACGCAACCTAACGAACCAACACCATTTCGTGTGCCAAGACAGATGCACATACGTATGCACCGCTGCATGATGAGACCAAGAGAAAATGTGGCTCGTTACTATTCCTCTACGAGCTGCGTGCATCGCCAGCACCTGCGACATGCATTGCATGCACTCGTCGCCGGCCGATGAGCTCATCCCGACACCGGCGAAAGACATGCTCCGGCGATCCACCGGCGAGCGCTATAAAAACACGTCTACACGTGCATGCTTGAGCACAAGCCAGTGTGCGTGGATCGTTCAATCGGCATGGCTTTCTCCCCAGGAGCATGGCCGGTGATCACTGCAATCCTGCTGGTGCACGGCCTGTTCGCTGCCTTCCCAGCGACTTCGGTAGACGTGGGCGACATGCTGATGATGGACAGGTTCCGCCAGTGGCAAGCCACGCACAACCGGTCGTACCTGAGCGTCGAGGAGAGGCTGCGGCGCTTCCAGGTGTACCGCGACAACATGGAGTACATCGACGCCACCAACCGGCGTGGCGACCTCACCTACGAGCTCGATGAGAACGAGTTTGCCGACCTCACCCAGGAGGAGTTCCTGGCGAGGTATGCTTCGTCCTACGATGGCGCCGGTGATAATACGGGCATCACAATGCCCGCCAGCGGTGGCGACGCCGAGCTGTGGTCGTCTGGCGGCGAGGATAACTCCTTGGAGGCTCCGCCTCCGCCTAGCATGGATTGGAGGGCCAAAGGCGCCGTCACGCCGCCCAAGTCCCAAAGCTCATCATGCTGTACGTAAAGATAGATCCCTAACTTGATCCAGCATGGTTTTCACTTTAAGTGGGATTTTCATGACATTCACTGAATTTCATTGATTTCACTAGTCTTTGAAATATTTGCCTTTCGGCCAATATATTTCAGCAATTTCAGTAGTACACATGAAAATCAAATATCTATTTAACTTTAAGTGAATATTTCGGCCTTTTGGCCTGAACGCAAACCGATATTCACTGAATTTCAATGATTTCGGTTGGTGCTGAAAGTTTTCTGAAACTGAAAACCTCCCCGTTAAACCTTAGCTTGTGATTTGTGAAGCATGCACAGTGATTAACCATTGTTTTGTCCCTGGATGAATGGATGCAGCCAGCTGTTAGGCGTTCGTGACGGTTGCGACGATCGAGACCCTGAACTGGATCAGGACGGGGAAGCTGGTGTCCCTCTCGGAGCAGCAGCTGGTGGACTGCGACCAGTACGACGGTGGGTGCAACCGCGGCTCCTACAACAGGGCCTTCAAGTGGATTGTGGAGAATGGTGGCCTCACCACGGAGGCGGAGTACCCATACACGGCGGTGAGGGGCGCCTGCAACCGCGCCAAGTCCGCCCACCACGTCGTCCAGATCAGCGGCAGCGGTGTGATTCCGCCCAGGAACGAGCCCGAAATGCAGAGCGCCGTTGCCGGGCAGCCCATTGGCGTGGCCATCGAGGTCGGCAGCGGCATGCAGTTCTACAGGAGCGGCGTTTACTCGGGCCCTTGCGGGACAGCGCTCGCTCACGCCGTCACCGTCGTCGGCTACGGTGTCGACGCGGGGGTCAAGTACTGGATCGTGAAGAACTCGTGGGGGCAGACATGGGGTGAGGGCGGTTACATCCGCATGCGCCGCGATGTCGGTGGCCCGGGGCTCTGCGGCATCGCACTGGACGTCGCCTACCCGAAAATGGCGAGGTGAATGTACCTACGGTGCATGCATGCGTACGTTCGGAATTAAGTACGCTCACCTACTGTGAGGCAGCAGCATCGATGTACTTCACCGTGTGTAAGTGTATTGTAACGTATAGTATGTATCATCGTCGATTCCACCGTAATACAACATACAGAACTACAGATCATCGTCAATTCCACCGTAATACTACAACATACTGTATGTGGTGCATTGTACGTGAAACCATATATCATGCTCATTTTTTTTTCGCATTTGCTATTAATTGTTCATGTGGGTGCAATTATTTTCCGCTGCGTCAGCCGATTTTGCAAGAAAGCAAGATGCAGCCCCGAGGCTGAGAAGGGGACGCTGCGACCAACCGCGGTGTGCCCGGCGAGCCCGAGTATGGAGCGAGGGTAGGTGGAGACCAGACAAGATGGACTCTGCCAGTGTTGTTTGCTTAAGTTTATTTGTTTGAATTGAGATGGAGACCAGGCAAGAAAACTACTAGATCTTTGTGATGTATGCACGGTGGTGTGCCAACAAGACGGCGGGGTTGATGACGCCCCGTAATATTCGGCCTTGGCTTCCACGACTGCCTCCTCGGCAACCACTTTTTTTTCTTCAAAAAGGGGCGCTTTATTACTTAAAGGATTTAAGTATTACACTAGGCCTCTGTATAACTAAGATGCACACAGTCAAATAAGATCCTCTCACATAAAATAAAAATAAAGAGGCGAATTACAACGAAACATGTAGAGTCCGTATAACGCCTAATGTGGAGGGGGGTCAATCCTTAGATCATGCTGCCACCCATGTTGGGTAAAAGTATCCCTCGCCGTAGCCTCCAATCGTGTACACACCTCCGTAAACAAGTCTCGATTCTTCACGCGTTGTAAAGAGGACCATAAACGAAGAGTCCCGGTACATCTGTAGATAACCTGCAATAGAGAAGTACTTTTATCGTTAAAAACCTTATCATTTCTACATAGCCAAAGCGAACAAATAACGGCAAGCGCTCCCACCCTGAGAAGAGTTCTAAACCTGTGATCAATCTCATGTAACCAGTTGCCAAATACATTAGCAACACTACAGGGAGGATACAAGCCAGAAGCTATTTGGATGACTGACCATATAGAACGAGCCAATTTGCATTGGAAGAATAAATGTTTTATTGTCTCCCCATGGTGACAAAATACACATTGCGGGCTTCCATGCCAATTCCTCTTAATAAGGTTATCTTTAGTAAGAATGACTCCGGGACGAAGATACCATGCAAAGATTTTATTCTTAAGAGGTATCTTCATCTTCCAGATCTTCTTGTTATTAACAACTGGCACATCGGACTGGATTAACGCTCTATACATAGAATCCACTGAGAATTGTCCATTTCCATGGAGGTTCCATCGGAATACATCAGACCCATGTGACAATTGCACCGTGGACAACTGTTGGAGCAGGATATTCCACGAATGGAGTCTGGGTCCAATTAAGTCTCTTCTGAACGTCACATTTGGCGGAAATGATTCCATTACCGTGGCGATAGTATCACCTTTGTGGCGCACAATGTAGTATAGAGCCGGATATTGTTCCCGGAGTGTGGCATTTCCTAGCCACTTGTCCTCCCAGAATCTAATTTCCGAGCCATCCTTAATCGAGAAGGATCCATAGCAGAATAAATATTTCTTTGTAGCCATTAGACCTGCCCAAAAGTGGGAATCCCCAGGCTTCCAATATACTTGGGATACCGCCTTGGAACCCACATATTTCCTCCTTAGGAGGGTTTGCCATACACCATATTCCGTTAGTAATTTAAACAACCATTTGCCGAGGAGGGCCCTATTCTTAACCTCAAGGTCATGAATGCCCAACCCGCCTTGGTCTTTGGGACGGCAAACCACACTCCATTTAGCCAGTCGATATTTCTTTCTCTCGCTATCTCCTTGCCAAAAAAATCTTGATCGGAAGTAATCCAATCTATGTAAAACTCCTTTCGGTAACTGGAAGAAGGAAATCATATATAGTACCATATTACTAAGTACTGAATTTATGAGCACCAATCTTCCACCCAGAGACAGCAGTTTACCTTTCCAACTGCTAAGTCTTTTTTGCAGTCTCTACTCAACGTGTTTCCATTCAGCATTTGTGAGTCTCCGATAATGTATCGGTATCCCCAAGTATGTGATCGGAAACTGACCCAACCCGCATCCGAACAGTTCAGCGTACAGGTGGGCCTCGTCTTGAGCCTCGCCGAAGCAAAACAATTCACTTTTATGAAAATTGATCTTTAGACCCGAGAGTTGCTCGAATGCTGATAAAATCAGTTTCAGATTTCTTGCTTTCTCGAGGTCATGATCCATGAAGAGAATCGTATCATAAGCATATTGAAGTATAGAGAGACCACCATCAACTAGATGATTTACTACCCCATCAATTTGGCCATCAACCTTGGCACGCTCAATCATGACCGATAGCATATCCGCCACTATATTGAATAGCATGGGCGATATCGAGTCACCCTATCGCGATCCCTTCTTTGTTTGGAAATAGTGTCCAACGTCATCATTGACCTTAATGGCAACACTACCTCCAGAAACGAAGCTATGGATCATCGCACGCCACTCTGCAGAAAATTCTTTCATTCTGAGAGTCTGTTGGAAAAAAGGCCACTTGACTTTGTCATAAGCCTTTTCAAAGTCTATTTTGAGTACCACCCCATTTAACTTTTTCCGGTGTAATTCATGAAATGTTTCATGAAGGATAACAACTCCATCTAGGATGTGTCTGCCTTGCATAAAAGCTGTCTGTGAAGGCCGAACCACATGTTCAGCAACCGAATTCAGCCTAATAGTCGCAACCTTCGTGAATATTTTAAAACTAATATTAAGGAGGCAAATAGGTCTCTATTGTTGTATCCTTTCAGCCTCATTAACCTTAGGTAATAAAATAATCTCACCGAAGTATAAGCGAAACAATTCTAGTTGGCCAGCATGTAGGTCGGTAAACAAAAGTAGGAGATCCGGTTTGATGACTTCCCAGAATTTCTGATAGAACTCAGCGGGAAAACCATCCGGACCCGGGGCTTTGTTATGCTCCATTAGGAAAACCGCCTTTCTAATTTCCTCCTCGTAGTATGGGGCTGTTAGAAGGTTGTTTTCCTCATCAGAGACCTGAGGGATGTCATCTGTTCGGGTCTCATCCATCGAGAAGTTTCCTTCCTCTGGGGCTCCGAACAGATTTTTATAATAATTAGTGATATAAGATTTAAGTTGCACATGCCCCTCAATCACTCCCTCATCCTGTTGTAGGGAATGAATAATTTTCTTCCGGTGTCTGCCATTGGCGACTCCATGGAAATATCTAGTATTCGAATCACCTTTCAGGATAAATTGAGAGTTAGAATGTTGGTACCATTTGAGTTCCTCTTCACGCAATATGTTAGCTATCTGTGCATTCGACTGATTCTTGATCTCGATTTCATGCTCGGATAGAGGTCTAACCTCTGCTAAAGCTTCTAATTCATCAATGATAGATGAAAGACGAAGTTTCTCCTTTTTTAGGATACCCACCGTATGCCTGGCCCAACCACAAAGGAATTTACATCATGCACGCATTTTGTTATTCCATCTATGTATTGGGGTAGGTCCGACGACTGGTTTCTCCCACACCTCCTTGACCATGTCATGGAAGCCATCCCGAAGCAACCACCCAAGTTCGAACTTGAACTTGCGTCTATGTTGTGGTCGTGGCAACCCAATAGTTAGAAGAATGGGTGCATGGTATGATATAGCCTCGATACGAGGTAGAGCACGAACAGAAACCATAGGACATTTTGATTCCCAGTCGGTATCCATTAAAACACGATCTAGTTTCTCATATGTCGGTTCCGGAAGACTGTTCGCCCACGTGAATTGTCTTCCAATCATAGAAACCTCTCGCAAATCTAGACTGTCGATGACAACATTGAAAAGGAAAGGCCAATGATTATCGAACCTACTGCGGCTTTTCTCATTTGGAAATCGAAGCAAGTTGAAATCCCTACCTATAAGAATGGGATAGGGATTATCTTTCGCCAGATTAACCAATTCACGAAGAAAATCGGCCTTGAACTCATCCTGGGCTGCCCCATACACGGCGACGAGGGTCCATGTGAAGTTGTCGGCCTTGCTGCGAATATGGAGTTTAACATGAAACTCACCATCCGAACTAGCCAAAACATCCATAGTTCCTGTATTTACGCCAAGTAAAATGCCCCCAGAACGACCTCTAGGCGGTCGCGAAACCCAAGTAAAGTCTATCCCGCCAGAAAGACGGTTAAGCAGACTTACTGAGAAATCACGTCTCCCCGTTTCAGAGATAGCCAAAAAATCAAAATTGTTACATTCTGCAATGAATAAATGTTTAGCCAAGTCACGAAGACCTCTGCTATTAAAAAACATTCCATTCATGAGGAAACAATGGGAGATTTAGAACACTTTGCCCTCTTATGGGACTTACTATCTTGTTTCGAACATGCGGTCTTTGATTTACGTCCAGATGATGTAAGCTCAATCAATGAACTAAGCCCGGGTTCATCTAGACCCACGTCCGAAACCTCCCCTACTAAATGAGAGAGTAGCTGACCATCTGATGTGGCATGCAGCTCCTCCTCATCAGTATGGGAGACATAAGACTTGCTAGAAACACGTGGAGTAACTTTTAATCGATCATATTCCAAATGTTTCAAAGCGTTAGTCAAAATAGAAATCTCCTTCTGATTCTTTCCGATACTAACACCCACATTATTCAACTTAGAAATGATGGTGGCATTGGAAAAGGCTAAAAAGGATTTGGATGACGACATAATACCTCGATTGTCAAGGTTGTGTGCTGCTTTACGCCGCATAGCCTTGGCTAAGGAGTCCTCATCTGTGTCCATAGAACCATCTTCGGCAACCGTATGCCGACAACTTCGGCGTGTAGTAGTCAACCCCAATTGTGGTCGTGGCGCCGGCTCTACTGCCGAAGGAGGGGATGATGGTGAAGTA